GTTTCTCCATTGAAAGAATCCCTGTGACTGCAGGTACTTTATGACATTAATTAATTACGTACATTCGTGAATGTTTACCAGTAATACCTCTTGCTAATTGTGAAGTAAAACATTGCCATGAAACTTGCATGTTGAAGAGAAGACCTTTGCTCAGCCGTAGGAGGTATAATGAGTTAATGATGAATTAGATCCGCACGAATTACTCCAATCAATGGGAAGACTGTTCCAAGGTTTTGATAACGGAATGTGGGGCATATTTAGCCGTTATCGTCTTTATCTGGAAAGAAGGACGCAAATGTTGTATGTATCTATTTGTTTATTTCAATCACTTGGCGCAACGTATTATTTACGAGTATATCCATTGAATGTATTAAATATTCTTTATTGCACATTAAAATTACAATGACGACGTAGAACAGTAATTTAAGTATAACGTAATGAGCTTATGTAGGATAGGCGACCATTTTGCTGAGTAATAATTTCTTCCAGGCTACATTACATATACTGATAGCCATTTATAATTCATAATAACTGTAATTTATTCTAATTATTAATACAAAGATCGAACGGAGAAAAAAAATCTTTGATCCGGCTGGACTCAAACCAGCGACTGTGGCTGACGGTCTCCCAACTGAGCTACAGAACGAATCATTTAATTTATTTGTGAAAACACGTTGGTATAGAAGTTGATTGTACAAAATAAGTATTATTTCCGGTGACATGGACGCCTTGAGCCTCTGGGGGTCGATATGACCACTTTGGGAATTATCGGTCCCGAACATCGAAACCAGAAGGAATTTTGAAAATTTATTTCCCAAATTGACCCTAGCGGGACCTCCACACAGCTGTCCGCTGAGCCTTTGAGGTCGTCAATAGAACATATGTTACTGACATAAACAACAACCGTGACCGTGTCAAGTCAACCGTGACCATGCGACCTGTAAAGGGCCCGAAACGTCGGTTTGTTTGAAAAAACAAATATACGCGATTTAAATCCGGAAAAATAGTTTCATTTCCTATGTGTAACAATCGCGAAAACCTAAGAACTCGATATAAACTCTATTTATTATTATCCTTCATAATTTGTATATAATGTATCCGATGCTAAGTATGTGTTCACCTTCATTTATTATCATTAGTCAATTTACGAAATGATATAACAAGTCTACTATTTAAATGAGACTGGCAGATATAGCGTGACATTTCAAACGGCAAAGCAGCACGCTTATCACGCAATGAAGGGGGCAACGGGCAAAATGTCTGTCTGTAGACGTTGATAAGACGTTTCTATGATAGACTCGTGCGATAAACGGACGTCTTTGTTCTTTAAAAATTCCCTGATAGATAAGGATTGTTCTTCTTTTATTTACTGTCTTAGAACAGTAATTTCCGCTTCATCTGTTATAGTATTGTTTGGATATAAATATAAAGGATGTTGTGCAATTAAACTGGTGAAATGGGAAAAATATAGTGATGAAAGAGACTCAGTCTTTTTAAGGCCTATTAAAAAAGCTCGACTTATTTTAAATGTCTCACAACTAGACTAGAATTTTAACCCTTAAGTCTTGAGTCATACGATTAAAACTGAAGTCTAATTTGAGTGGAAGTCTTTTAACCGCAGGGATTAAAAACCAAATCATTACTTAAAATGTTTATAGGAATAAAAGGACCTTATAGTCTCGGTAATCGCGAGTCATATGAGACGCATGGTGTAAGAAATTGAAACATTTTTGTTAAATTAATCAATCAATCAAACACACATAATAATATTGTAATGTTTTCTTTGAATTAGAACTCACTGAAAACGACTGAGTCTTTTTGACAAAAACTCGAACCTCTTAATTTTAAAGTCGAGTCCTGTATTCCTGTCCTTCCTGTAGTCCTGACATTATTAGACACGTCAAGATTTTTTGACTTTGATTCTGGCAAATGCGGAACATATACAAAGTTCCTTTAATTCAACAAAAGTACACAGGTGATGTCATTTTGTTTAGACCGTCCATAAACGAATGCATATTTTAAGACCACATACATGTAAATCATGAGTAGGTACATTAAAATCTCAACAAAAGTAAACGAAAGTCGGCTATTGTGTTTTATCGATAATAGTAAGTTCTTTATATCCACAAATTACGTAAGTACAAAGTCCTTCATCGTCAATCATCATCAAGCAGCCTCTACTCTAGTCATCTTCGGATATAGGCCTCCTCCGTATCTCTCCATTTACCTCGCTCCCGTGCCACATGCATCCGTTTACGGCCCGCTACAATTTTAACGTCATTCAACCGAAGGGGCGAACGACCTCTACCGCGCGTGCTGGCCCATAGTCGCCACTCCATGATCTTCCTTATCCCCCGATCTGGATCCATTCTAGCTGTGTCCTGCCCATTTCCATTTCATAGTATCAATGTTGTGAACAACGTCCCGACTTTGGTTATCCGTCGAATACGCTCATTCTGTATCCGATCGAGCAAATGTTATTCCTAACATTGCTCTTTCCATTGCCCTCTGTGCGACTCGTGCTGATTTCTTTGTTAGAGTCGTTGTTTCCATGCCATAGGTGAATACTGACAGGACACACTGGTTGAAGGCCTTAGTCTTTAGCCTCTGCGGTACAGAGTACAACATTTAAATTTATAAGCAAAGATGACATTGTTTAATATGTAGTATAGGGTAATTAGCAATTGATTATATACTTAAATTAGGTTTAGTTTGCAATTATTTAACAATTAAACTGACGCCATAATATAGAAAAAAGCAATACCTACTAAAATATGAATACAACACGTACAAAAAACATGTTCTAGATCTATTTATAAAAACCTAAGACCATAGATGAAATCGGAACCAGTTTGTGATGGGTTCTTTTATAACACTAAGACGTCATCAATTAACGCAAACGCCACTGACATGTGCGTCATATTTGCGTGCATAGTTGTCAAACGACTTTATCCGTAATGGCAATGAAACAAGGTCACTTGTCTTATAATTTACGCATTTCATATGACTGACGTCAGCTATGCACGGCTTGTAATTTAATCTTGCCACGTGTACATCGTTTACTAATTACATACTTAATAATAAACACTTCTACATTAATATAAACGTTCTTACCATATGTTTTCTATTGAGTAATTAAGGTGGTGCCGGCAGTGACCGACACGCGCTAATGTTAGACTTCTTTTTTAAATTAATTTCTAATTTCTAATAAAATTTAGAACAAAATTTTCTATCATAGTAACACGTTCCTTATTGGTAAGTGTCGAATTACCGGGTGTTCATTACTAAAGCTTTAGAGAAATTCTAGTTCAGGTTTTTTTGCTTATAATTATAATAACTTTTTTATGAAATCTTTTTTTTTATATCTGGCAAGTAATTACTATTGATATATGTATAAAAACAAAAAAAAAATCTAGTTCCTTTACAATGAATCCGGGTTCACATTTAGTATTACGTATATGTATGTATATTGATATTTTTTTAAGCTTTATTGGCAAAAAAATTCGATGCTTTTCTTAACTTGCAAATCTAGGAAATGATTAGTAAATGTGTATTGTGAGGCCACGAGAATTGTCCGGAATACGCGTGACCTGTTTTTGAGCTCGTATCTATGTAGTTTGTACGTTACACAAATGATATAAAGTTAATTATGCTATGGTTACTATAAATCGCATCTTCCGATCCAGTCAGTTCCGCAAAACAGTAACATTATATAGTTAGTGAAGTTATAACATCGCCTAAGGCAAAATTAATCGCTTTCATATTTTAATCTCAATCTACGAAGAAGTTTCGCGGGCATGATCTGACCAATCGGAAAGCGTGACTTCAAACTAATCACGTTCGTGATCCAATGTTGGTTCAGTATAATTTGCTTTCTTATACGAATTTTGACATAGGCAAATGTTAGAACTTTACCGAAGATAATGAAGATGGGAGGCAGGGCAGTACAGTCCCACACTCACTGTCATTATTAAGATGTATTGTGCTGGGTTTCTCACGATGTTCTCATTCACCTCGTGCAGGAAACAAATTAGTAAATGTTATTTAAATCTGAGATCGAAACAGGTAAACGTTATGGAACACAATTTGCATACGGATACACCACAATTTACAATGTCTTTGTATCAATAATAATTTACAATGTTTTTGTTTTCGGTTTTCGGTGGTACATTGTCAGTTCTACCTTATTTATCAGCCTTGCGGTAATCAATTTTACACGCTAACAGTGTTGCCAACTAGACTAAAGTAAATGTCGCTAGACAGAACGTTCAAAAGTCGTTAATTGTCGCTAAAAGTGTATTTCCACTCCATATGGAAAATCGACGCTCATGATACTCAATATAAGGATCATTTCACTGGCGAGACCTTTATGGTCATAGCACAGACAAAATATCAATACACCACAAATGAGAAACTTACCATATTGAGTAACGCATAAAATAATTCAGATAATTTCACTAACTTATATTAAAAGATGAATGTGATTTTTTTATGATACCAAGTGACTTGACGTACAAGTCGTATGGCTGGTGGTAAGCGACACGCCTGTCCATAACAGTAGCACTGCCACTCAGAGCTTTAAAAACGCAAAGATGTCAGGGGCACTGCACTGCACCCCGAGACATAAGTTGATAAGTCTCATGTGCCTGTAATTTCACCAGCACCTTTCAAAACCGGAACGTAAGGTGGCAGTATGTCCCTGCAAGTCGCGACCTGTCGTGCTAGCCCTTCTGGACTAACTCTTTCTCAAGGAGTTCTACTGCTACTAATTAAATAGGCACCAAAAAAGTCGTTAAATAGAAATAAAATGTCGCTTAATCTAGTGAATTAAATATAAAATAAAAATCGCTAAGTTGGTGAAGCTGCACGCTAGATCAAGATTTCACATTTTCTGAATGACTCAATTGTTAAAATCCCGCCCAAACTTCCTGCCATGAGAGGCGAGCGCTTTTTCAACTTGATTATTACAGCTAACTTCACAACTTTGTGTTAAATTACAGGTGCTAGCTGTACGTTCTGTATACGGCAGTTATCCATCCCGACTACTCGATCTGTGGGAATTATACGACGAGTGCAACGGCTCGGAAAACGATAACCCGGCCATACTGCCCGTCGACCAGCAATACATTGTGCTGGAACTTGCCAACGCCGGACAAGATCTCGAGAGCTATCAGTTCAACAGCGCTGAACAGGCGCATGCGCTGTTCTTGCAGGTATTTTTATTTGTAGCAGTACACTCGACTGAAAAAGGTTCAAGGACAACTCCAGCAAACAAGAATCAACTTTATTTTCAGACACTACTATTTGTAAATAATGAAAATGGCAGCTAGCTGTGTTACAGGATACTTAATATCGTATGTCTCAAGGTCGGCAATACATTTGCGATACTAAGATATTTGCTTGCTCTCGCACATATCTATGGGCGGTCATATCCACAGTAATCAGGTTGACAGCCTTTTCAATTTGCATATTTTTTTATCTAAATAAACTACAAGAGACATTTCTTTTAGTGATAATACTAATTGGTTCTTATTCTCTGGCAACATCCTTAACTTTTTCAGGTACAGTGCAAATAGATGAAACCATCAAAAACACAGTACATATTACACATGCATTTATTCGTACAGTGGCATTGGAAGAGATATCGATATTTCAGAGAAGAGACGAGTGTAAAAAACAGAAATGTTATTGATCATAATAATTTTTATAGATCTATTTTATTTTCATAACTATGTTTTTCCAACTTCATGTAGACAGATCGAAAAAGCTTAAAATGTTATCATAATACAGATGGTTTTTATGCCCTTTCTTCTCTGGAGTGTCAAATGCTACTGCATGTACAAATAGCCAGTGTATTTACGTCGCTTAAGCATTGTTTTACATTATGTTAGCTACCTATATTGACTTTTTGTGTCAGCCATATTGTCCTCTTGGACTGGACGTAATTGTGTATTTCAACGGAGAGTTTCGTGATCAATGTTATAATAATAATATAATTCACCGAAATCGTAAGTTGCGTCACCTACACACCTCTTCTTGCCGAAATCGATTCTTTTATCTTACAAGTTTGTTGATAAAACTGCCCTGCGTCTATCGTAACCGTGACAGCGGTTTACTTTCAGTGAACTAGAGGCCAAAGATCTTGAAACCAGGTCAATGGATTGTAAACAAATGAAATCCATTAAAGTGACTAGTTCTATTATTCTGAGGTATTATTTAATTCAATTTTATGCAAATTACGATACGAATCAATTCACAAATAGAAAATATGACGGTCTTTCGTTTTACTTATATATGTAACTACTAACTAGTAACGTCTATTTAAAGATCCGTGCCCAACATAACTTGGCTTAAAATTGGGTAATTAGGAGTAAATTTTCAGAAATTCTAATAGACGTAGCTGAATTTCCTCTATATCGTTGACTAAATTTGAGCCAAGAGAAACCCAGGTTAGTAATTGTAATAAAAAGCTCAAGGGACTTCATAAGATCATGACATACAACACTAATGGACATTGTTTGCAATTTTACGAAAACATAATTTATTTGCATCACAATATAGAATTTTAAAAAACTTCTTACCGTCAAAGCGGAAGTTACCTTTATTTGAAAATGCACGCCATGTTTATAAATAGGAATTCGAAACTAATTACCCGTGAATTAAAGATCGAATCGTTTTACGAAATTGTGCCGATATGACGCAATGCGATAGCCTCGCGGTAGTACGCCCAATTGTATATTTGATGCATTATTCCACGCTGACGTATCACCGGCGGACGACGTAATCGCTAGAACAATCGCCGCGCGTGGCTTAATCATACGGTCGGGCACATGACTCATATTTTACTACTGTGTTTAGATCGATGTTATGTTGTCGTTTCATTCTTCCTAATTACTTTAACATGTTGTAAAACTTTTCCTCTACTAAAGAGTCATAAAGGCTGAGTGTTTTGCGTCCAGGGACCGCTCTAGAATAGAACTTTCGTGCTAGCAATAAATGTCCATACATTTAAAATGGTCATGTCTTATATATTTTTACTTCAAGACTCCTCAAAATATTTATGCATTTAACGAAAATCAACTTTGTCTCAACTGAACATCGAGTACGTAACCAGAAATAGAGACGAAATAGGGGCCATCCACCCCTGGCATCAGGTAAATGGGCCTTATATCACTTTTAAATATCAACTCTCGTTTGCACTGAAATCACAAATTAGAAAGCTGAATAAGTGCAGAGCCAACAACTGACCTGTAAGTACGTCTCCGTATATTCCGAAAATATTCTCTATTTATTGTAATAAATATAATATCTCTATTTTGGGCTGTTTTATACGGTGATGTAGTAAAAACAGCAAAACATCTAATTACAAAACAAACGGAATAACATTTCATTGGTAATTAATATTAAACATGTAATTTTTCAATTTTCCGCAGTCGTTAATTGTCCATTATAGCAAAGTTCAAGTTAAACTGGTCAATTTGAAGTGAAACAATTAACGACACCCGTCAATTGGTTCGAATTAGGGCTAGCCAATCGGAGTGCAGTTGTCACTGTAATGATTTGGCAGAATAGTTTTCAAACAAATTACATGACATTTCGTCTCTATTTCTGTTTATATACTCGATGCAACTGAATAATTAAAACGGGCTCATTAAAATTCGATATGAAGTCATGCGGATTTTTAGGCACTTGGAACGTGTCTATGCGTTAATAAACATAGATTTAAGTTATATTGCTACTACACCAAGGTCAAATCGTGCAAAATACCTGCACTTGTATTGAATATTTTTTCATGCAGTTAAAATTTACCATTTGTTCATATGAGTGGTGTAGATGTCAACTAAACATATCAATATGAACACCTTTTACTATGAAGAATTACATTTATAATGTATAACCATGAACGAATATTAAAATGCGATAGTTATAAATAAAATTACTTATCGTATTCACGTGCTGTATCTATTCTGTAATCTACATTGCCTTGTCTATAATAATAATCTAAAATATCAGAGAAACTAAACGTTCTTGATATGGTTATCGCAATTGAGCAAGAGGCTATGGTCACATTTAAAAAAATAGATAACATTAACACGTTTTATTGTTCAAAACAGCTAGGCCGTATACACCACCTCAACACCATATTACCGTATAAACCGTTTTCTGAATATTAGTCTCCCGTCTAATTGTTTTGTATTCAGGACTAAAATTAATTGGCCCACCCTCCAAAAATGCCAAGTAGGGTAGGGTATTAGGAAGAGAAATTGAAACTTTGTCTTAAGGCCGCGTGACTTATAAGTATGGTTAATTAAACAGCACCCTATGGCGGTCACAAGATAAACAAATATTTTCCGCAGTCGCTATAGACTTTAACACTGTAATCTGAATGTTATTTTTTTTTTGCGGTGGAGAAATACTTTACGCCCGAGGCTGGGGTGGCTCCGAAGTTACGTGGGACTCCCCCATAGTGGGGGGCATACCGCATTGAAACTCCATCGGCGTTGCCCGCAAGCCTGGGTGTTATGGGTGCCGTGGGATCCTGATGATTTGACCACAACTTCGCGTTATTCATTTGACTAAGCTGCAAATAAAGAAAAAAACTCATGACTCATTTACAATGAACAATGGACACTAGGCACTATTTACTTATCAGCATTTATGTCATAATTTTTTTTAGCAATGATCTTTGCATTTATTTATTTTTTATTTGTCGAGCCTTTTCAAGAAGATCTCCGTCTATAGGTTACTTAACAATGGATTTCTTTATATTGAAAGCTTAATTTTGCTGCCTACTATTAACTGCTAGCTGACAAGGCTTAAATGTATAGAGTTTTTTACAAAGTCCACACTAAAACTTAAAGACCATATTTGTAAATGTACGTTCGCGAATTTAAATGTTTAGGGTGACACTCTATTTATTATCATGCTTCAGCACTGCGTCAATTTTATGTGGGGTATGGCAACACTAGTACAGCACTGCCACTGCCCTGGCGCCATCTTTATTATGTGTATATTGCTTATGGTGATCTTATTAAAAAGGCTCGCAAGTTTTTGTTTTTTTTTTCAGTATCCCGATTGCATGGCCCGTTGGTTCCTTCGGATGATAAGTGAATTTTTAGTTCAAGTGTCTCCATTATCTTGACTAGATTTTCACTTATCCTCTGCGGTGACCATTCCTGCTTTTGGTGTTCAAGTGTGATTGTTTTTGTTTAATAATTTATTTTGTTTTTGTTCGAATAAAACACTCGCATGTTGTTCTAACCTACTAAGATTGTTAAAAAGCCAAAATAAGCGACGTACTTTGCGACATCCATAACAAAACTTAAAAGCCAGTTTGAAACAGATACGTCGCCTGCAGTTGTTCGATCATTCTATGATTTTCTACGCGCTTTTGCAATGGTAAAAAAATATGCGTTGCGTTGTTACGTAGCCATAGCACGATAGACTAAGGGTCGTATTCTAGAACTCTACTCAATGCTCAAGTCAGGATTTGAGTATGGTTTAAAGCACTGGAAATACGACCCTAATGGAAGGGACTTGAGTATGATTTCGAGTGCTTTAAACCATACTCAAATCCTGACTTGAGCATTGAATTGACCCTATGAATGCCATACAAAAATCCCTTTTTTATTTGAACGCAACATTAAAAGCAAACTAATATAAAAGCAATTGTTTCAAATGTGCTATCTGTTTTTTTGATAATCTAAATTCTAACACATTAACACTGTTCAACCGCTAAAATATCTGCGTCACTAAACACTGGACCTCGAAAATAAGTTTTGAAAACAGTCTAAAGATTTATGCGAGAGTTTTGTTCAAACACTATTGTTCTTCGCCAATATGTTTTACTTGATTTGTGTTTTTGTTTTGCCATGGTACTTTCCGTTTTTGGGGATCTTTATTTGATACCTTTGACATGCGCTTGCGTCCCGTCTGACAGATTGTATTATCAATGTATCATGAATCGTTAGTCGATATAAATAAATAAATAACGCACACACTCAACATAGCCCCGCACTAGGAAAACCCCGTGTCGCGGCTGCCATGGACATACACATAGGCAACCACAAATTACACCCAAACTCACGAGAGAAATAAATGTAGGCCATACAAATATTTCTCCCGACCCGGGAATCGAAACCGGGACCTCTGCGTGGCAGACCAGTATAGTATCGTTCGTTCGTTAAAGGATTCAAACATTTAAAATGACAGTAAAGATTTTACGCCAACGCATTGCGAGGGACAAAACGGTAATAAGAATTTAACAACGGTTAGATGTGGCAGTTGCAACGTATCGCTTGCAATGTATTTTAAATTCCCAGTGGCCGGGCGTTAATGCGCGTACGATATTCAGCGGCGCAATTTTCGCTAAATGTGTTCCCAGCTTTGTGTCGTCTATTTTTAAAATATATGTAGATGTAATGTTGAAATTGCGAATAAAAATCAAACCCACAATAAAAACAGGCGTAAATAATGGTTTATTTATATGACATTGTTCAATAACAAAGTCATATACAACAGTTTGTACAATTAATTATCCTATATAATCGATGTTTTATATTATATTTGTCATTTGCAGATTGCGTTCGGTTTGGCAGTGGGGGAGGAAGCCTTCCAGTTCGAACATCGCGACTTGCACTGGGGAAACGTATTGATAAAGCCTACTGATCAAAAGGTTAGATACATTAAAATTATTTGCTCAAACTCAAATAATTTTTATTTCATAGGTAAGCAAATTACACTTGAAAACGTCATATTGATTAAACTACACACTATATTGATAAAACATTCGTAAGACAGGATTCCCTTAGAAGAATGACCAAGAAACACTAGGGGTTGCTCTTTATGAATATACGTTCATACACATTGCAAAATTCTTATGACCGATATTTTGAAATTTTCGTTGTTATAATATCTGTGGCTTTACTGAAAAGGGGGAACCAGTTAAAGCTTAATATGATATTAAGCATTTAGTACTTTTCGTGTTTCCTTGTAAAGTTGGCTTTTTTTTACTTGTGCCCGTTTTCACTAAAGACTCTGATATAACAGCTGTGGCTCTAAAGTTGGCGGGAGACGGGAAAAACAGTTAAAGCTTAATATCATAACATTTTTTCACGTCTCCCTTGTAAAGTTGGTTTGTTTGACTTGTACCCCTTTTAACTAGAGACTCGGATATAATAGCTGTGGCTCAAGTGAACATGGGTACAAGTAAAAAAGCCAACTTTTGTAAAGTTGACGGGAGACGCCAAAAACACTTAACGCTTAAATATCATATTTCATTTTCGCGTCTCCCTTGTAAAGTTGGCTTGTTTGACTTGTACCTCTTTTCACTAGAGCCCCAGAATTCAGATTAACATTAGTCACAGGTTGCTTGATGTTAGTAATATCTAGTTATTAATATGTATCTGGGAGGTTGATAGTATTTTACGAATAACCTTGCATAATTATTAATTACGTCATATATGTGTATTGCTCCATTAGACACAGAAAAATATAACTACATCCTCTCCAGTTCTTGTAACTCTACCTGCAATGTGCTGTTACATTTTTCTGTATCTAATGGAGCAATCAACATGTTGACGTAACTCCACTTATACCATTCTTCCTTGAAGGGTGCGATATTACAATCTGCAGCTCCAGGCGAACCAGTCAGGGCTGTAGGAGTAGGCCGTAATAGAAGTCGTCGACTTTTTTAGTTTTTTAGTTACTGCCTCCATGGCCGAACGGTTACCATGCCGGACTGTCCCAGCTTCGATTCCCGGGCCGGGAGAAATATTTGTATGGCGTACATTTATTTCTCTCGTGAGTTTGGGTGTAATTTGTGGTTGTCTATGTGTGTGTCCATGGCACCCGCGACACAGGGTTCCCCTAGTGCGGGGCTATGTTGAGTGTGTTATAGTCGATGAGTGACGAATACGTTTGTTCCCGGCGCAGTTCGCGACGTTCGTGCTGCGCGGGCGCGCGCACCGCGTGCCGCGGCGGGGCGTGGCGGCCACCATCATCGACTACTCGCTGTCGCGCCTGTCGCTCCCGCTCGCGCCCGAGCAGCGCGACTGCCGCGAGTCGGCGGCGCTCTACAACGACCTCGGCGCCGACGACGACCTCTTCGGCACCGTCGGCGACTACCAGTTCGAGGTCTACCGCCTCATGCGAGATAAGCTGGGGTCCGTATTATTTATTTCTGCATTGCGAAATGAGATTTTAGTAGCAGTAGAGCTCCTCGTGAAAGTGTTCGTCCAGGATAGCAGTGCCACCAAGCTGTAATGTCAGCATTACTGTGTTTCGGTTTTGAACGGTAAGGGTAGTGGTACTGTAACTGTTATGGACAGGCGTGTAGCTTACCATCAGGCGCAGGACTTGTTCGTCCCGTCACTTGATATTATAAAAAAAAATCCTTCGACCTGGGTGGGACCATGGGTTCGATTCCCGGGCCGGGAGAAATATTTGTATGTCCTATATTTGTTTCTCCCGCGAGTTTGGATGTAATTTGTAGTTGTCTATAGCACACGTGATATAGGGTTTCCCTAGTGCGTGACCAATCACGAGTGTGTGTGTTATTTTATTTATTTATTTATAATCCTGACAACTTAAGTAGGTCCACAATTGTGTTAGTAACTCTTAGCCTTTGAGTGAGATCCCACATCAAGGGACAATCAAATCTTTTACATATCGTCGGTTAAAAGGTAAAACTCATTAAGTGACATTTTGTTCAAAAACTAGATTTTTTCAATTTTGCTTTATTGGGAAGAACATCTATGACAAGAAAAATTCAGTAAGTCTGTGGTGTCCTTCATGTTTTAATACATACCAGTCCTTTAGTGATTTTTCATAATGAAAAAATACAAAATCTTAATTATCTCCCTTTGGCCAATTAGGCTATTAGTGAGTTTTACCTTTTAACCGACGATATCATCTTCTAGATGCTGTTACTGCCGCCCCACACTGTCTATAAACGAGTTCGTTTTTCGCGCAATACCACGTTGAAACCGTTTTTGCGTGCCTTAACAAACATGTTCGAGGCACTACAGAATCGCGACAGCCGCAACATCATCCTGACGGTGTTATATTGGATGCGCAAAGCATTGTTAGCTTTTGAATGTATATAGCTGCAAAGAAAAGCAAAACCTTAACTTGTGTCTGTGCCAAATCGAGGCTACCGCTCTACCTAATGAACAACAGATCGAGTCAGCAGATCTAGCTAATTATTCTACGTGTTTGTTATAGAACTTTGTATTGGGTTTTTTCGGCTTCACCTAGTAACACGGTAGTAGTTAACATTATTGTTATTTGTAAATATCTGACACGCTAGTTTATCATGTTAAATCCAGTAATATTGGTAAACTAAAGAATATATGATTTAAAAATGCTAAATGTATAGATCACGGGCTCGATTCCTGGCAGTATCCATTTAGAAACAAACTTTTCTAAATTGTTTTCGATCTCATCATCTTGATCAATCACTTTTGTTTTTCTGGTATTCTAGTACTCAAAATTCCCTAATTTGGGACATGTAAACTCTTGTTTGAGGCACAGATCATTTGGTGTTGAGTTCTACCACATTTTTAATTTTTTCATTTTTGTCAACAGAAATGATTGGAAGAATTTCGAGCCGTACACAAATATTCTGTGGCTGCACTACATAGTGGATAAGATGATAACGGCGCTTCGTTACAAAAGGACGAATACAAAAACTCATAAGCAGTATATTGCAAAACTAAAGGGCCTCAAGGACAGGATACTCTCGTATGGGAGCGCAACACAATTTGTGCTGACCGACAACGAATACTAAACGAACAAATTATGATATATTATACATTTATAAATTTACACATTTAACATCATCGCTAGTTTCTTCAATATGGTAGTAACTGTTTGTTCTCACTTGACAATGAAAAGCATAAATTATAATGTAAATAGAGTTTGCTTCGAGTTTGTTATAGACACTAAAAGAATTATTTACAATATTGTTGCCGCACTAGACTGGTTCCGGCAGGAAGGTGCCTTCATAGATAAGGTAGTGCCTTTGTTCAGATTAATAAATTCATATATTGTGTTCATATGATTCGTTTTATTTCATATTCCCCTGGATTTCTCTTATAACGACATTGGAAAGTTGCTATAATTGATCAAATAGCAATGTGTCGCAGGCCACGGTTATGATAATCAGCAGTTTAATCCATACTTTGGGCAAACTAGATTTAGCCTGTCCGCTGCCGCGTCGTTACTTTATTTTACTGTCCACCAGTGTTGGACGTTAATCAATTAAATTTCAATCAGAAATTCAATTAAAATAAAAAATCAATTGAAATCAATTTCAATTGATTTTAATTGCAATTTATTTTTAATTGCAATTGATATCAAGTGAATTGATTTTTATTGCAATTAATTTTTTTAGTTCTAAGAACCAATTGAAACTAACAATTAAAACCGAAATTACCGAATAAACGTGTCGGTTGGGGGGCCGGTTGGCGGGCCGGTTTGGGGAGCCGGTTGGGGGGTCGGTTGGGGAGCCGGTTGGGTGCCGGTTAGGGAGCCGGTTGGGGTCCGGTTGGGAGGTCGGTTGGGGTGTGGGTTGGGGGGCCGGTTTGGGGGCGATCAGGGGTGACTGACTCACCCCCTAACCGAACCCACCCATACACCCACTCTGCCACACACTCACCCGCTCACCCACCCACTCAAACTCACTCACCAACCCACCTACCCTCTAACCGACCTTTTACCCACCATTTAACCCACCTCCTGACCCACCCCGTGACCTACGCCCTGACCCACCCTATAAGCCACCCCTAACCCACCCGCTGACCCTCCCCCTAATAGACCCCTAACTCACCCCGAACCCCCCACCCAGACCGTAACCCCCTAACCCAAATCCTAACCTAACCCACCCCCTAACCTACCCCCAATTGCCCTATAAATTTGTCATAATTGTCATTGTTAATTGTTAAACATTGAAAAGATTGAAAATTGATTAATTGTTAATTGTAGATATACGCGATTAACGATTGATCAATCGTTAATTGCTGTTTCGCAATTGACAATTAATTAATTGTCAATCTTTAATTGCCAGAACAATTAAATTTTGCCCAACACTGCTGTCCACCTTGGAATAAAGAAGAAGAAGAAGCTTATTCCACGCGGCACCATTTCTCAATCTCGAGATCTTGAGGATGGAAAACAAAGAATAATAGAATAGTCTAAGCTCGAGAACCACGAAACCTAGCTTGGATCTGATTGCGCTAAAAAAAGGTTGTGATTTAGTCGGTTATTGTATATACTAAATCTATGGTTATTGTCTTAAAAAACTAGTTTAGTCGTTATGTTGTTTTGAAGTTGTTAAGGTGTTATACTGTCTTCACTGGAGCAAACTTATTTCGTCCGCACCGTTTTTGAATCTCGATAACCACAGCTCCTTGCCTAGTTATAACTGAATTAGTCTAGTCGTGAAAATTTAGAATTTATCGCAACTTTGTTTATAAAATGTAGGATAAAATAACTCAAATTTCAAAAACTCGATCATGGTCACGGTGGAATAAAGCGCGCGTGTGCAGTAATTTCCCTGATTTTCGGTAAGAAATTGAATAAATTCTAGCAACATTACAATCAGGCGTGACCGTCAGGATGGCTGGTCGTCTGTCACATCTGGCACTGAGAGTATATTTAGGAATTGCTACCTATTTGCCACCTTTTCTAAATAATTGCTACTTTTGATATATTCTAAGAAATAAAAAAAATATTGACCAGCCATTCTGACCTCAGGATGGCTTCTTGCCACTTTGTTCAGCATGAAGGGAGCAGATTTTCCAAAAAGTATATATTACCAATTATTGCTACCTTCACGAATTAAAGATATACGCTTCCTATCTACATTAGTTAAAAAAATATAACCAATGGAAATTTTACGAAGAAACAAATAGTAGCAAGTCGGTAGCAATTCTTGAATATACACTCAGTGTCAGATGCGACAGGCGACCAGCCATCCTGACAGTCACCACTTAGGCCCGGCGCCTATCGACTGACGGGACGGTTCACCAGGGGATCCGTCTTCGACATCCTAATCTACTATCCTCTAAGATTTATTTATCTAGGCTTGGGTACCTATGTTATGTTTTTGTATGTGACATCCCCTTAGATTATTTTCCATTTCCATTCTCTTAAGTTTTCCATCCTCTAAAGGTAAGAACATCCCAAATGTCCCGAAAAAAATGCTGTCGATTCCCGAACGTAAATTGACGGGCAAACAGATGTTTTGTCAGTGTGTAATTTCTGAACGAACACATGATTGTCAACTCTGTCAATCAATCGTTATCATTATCACCTTCCAGTTCACTAACTCGCAAAAGATGTAGATTATTTCCACAAAACGCTTATAAAAACAAACCAACACGTAATTTAATACAATAACCAAATTTTCCAATAGTGTTCAAGGTGAATAAATATCGAAAAAGTGTGAAAATAGTGGTAGAAAAATCTCACCTATTCATATATTCATATTGTGGAAATCTCATGTTTATGGAGTCCACGAGATTTTAAATCGTGTTTACAGTGCAGTAACTTATAAATTAGGATAAAATGGATAGTAGCAACGACTCGTTATCGGGTTAGTGTTCATATTTTTTTATGTATTTATGCACTCTTACTTACGAAGCTCGGATCATTGAAAAAACGCTTTTATTTATATTTGCAGTGATGTCTCCAGCCATAGGTAGTGCTTCGGCTGTTTTGTTAACGCCTGGAAGGACGAGGAACATAGCACAGGACATGGAAGCCCTAAGATTATCTAGACAAGATAACCCATACTTACAGGTACCTAATTATGTTAGCCAAAACAATATTTTCATCAGAGAAATATTAATAACAATGTCGTAATGTGCCTGACAACCATACTAGTTACCTAGTCTATAATAAGAGATGCCCCTATTGTTACTAGAGCAACTATATTGACTTCTGGGCACTGTAACACCTAAACCAGAACCAATTTAAAGAAGTCCAGTATCCAAGTTAGTCCTTTCGGGATCACAGGTCTGGTCAGTTTTACAATGAACTTGTCTTTATACAGTTGAAATTTTAATTATCATCCAAATTTTAATAAATAAAATAGTCACTAGTACTAAAATACTGAGATAAGGCACCACCAAAATATCTTATAAACAATCTCAGTACATAGTTCTAAAAAAATCTAGCTCAAAAGTCATTCATCCCTTAGTTTGCCACCCTTGGAAGTGGAATATTTGCTTTTAAATAGGATCATCACTGAGGTATCCTCTTTCCAACAAAAAAAGAATCAAAACTACAGTCGAATTGAGTACCTCCTCCTTTTTTTGGAGTCGGTGAATAAAACCGATGGCTGAATGGCTACTATGCTGGTCTGCCACACAAAGGTCCCTTGTGTGATTCCCGGGCTTTGAGAAATATTTGTATGGCCTACATTTATTTCTCTCATGAGTTTGAGTATAATGTGGTTGTCTATGTGAGTGTCCATAGCACCCGCGACGTAGGGTTTCATCATTTATTATTATTATTTATAATACTAACAATCTCTCAGGACTGTATTACTAAGATCATAAACAACAACTTTTAGATAGATAGATAGATAGATAACACGTTTGTTCAGCACAAATACAAACAGAAACAAAACATTTACAATCACTTCACAGAGTATAAAATAAAAGCACATAGAACATTCATTATTAATTTTATACACATTTATACAAAACACATATTGCGAGAAAAACAAATACTGTGAGAAAAACAAACAAATACTATAACAACTGATAAAATTTTAATGTACTTAAGACTACAGTTTGTGCTAAAATGGCCCTGACTCAGCATAAATACTGTAGACCGAGAGAAGTCAAACAGTGCTGGTTTTCTGCCAGTACCATATATGTAGGTGAGCGATAGCAGCCCATTAAGCCATGCCACCAAAGTGCATCACACGCAAATATATATACCTAACTCTAAATACTATACACACACACACATATATATATATATAGACATACATATATATAGACTTTTGTCCATTACTTTTAATAATTCACCAGATGTTATTTTAATTTAAAAATAAAAATGTTGAAATAGATCGCTCTACATGGTCATAACTCTGTGCAGTAACAAAAGAAAGCATTGGCGTAAATACCAGTGCTGCTACTTACTCCTTACAATTAAGTCAAAGACGTAAAAAGTGTCATAGTACAACAAAAACTTAAGGGCGCATTTCTTCGACATGAATGTTGTCGCGCTCACCTCGCGCGGCCGCCTCACGGTCGCCAAGGCGCGGTCTAACTGTTATGCACCATGGTTTTACCGCATGTACCATGGTGAGTGCTCTGAGGAGCTGTTCAACCTCATCCCCCCTTCCCCGTTCCTGCTCAGAAGCACGCGTGCTGGCCTTCGTAGTCACCGTTTCACTACCTGCCGCATTCCATCGCGTACTAAAAGGTTCGGTGGCTCCTTTCTCTGCCGCACTGTTGACAAATGGAACTCCCTTCCAGCATATGTCTTCCCTCCCTCTTATGATATGGGGTCCTTCAAACGAGGCGTGAAGAGGCATATTGTAGGCAGGCAGGGTGGAGGTGGCTAGTGCAGTGAGGATTCCATCGCTGCACTAGGTTCCTTCGCGTTTGGATAACACTTTCCACTTAACATCAGGTGGAGTGGAGTCATTTGCCTGTCAGGTATAAAAAAAAAATTTAAAAAAAAAAAAAATGGCAAAATACGCTAAATTTATTTCGCTTTTACGTTTTAACTTAAATGAGTGTCCCGGGCACGCAGGCGAGTCTGGCCCGAATTTGAACTACGCGGCGGCCGGGCGGCGGTTGTATTATTCAGAGGAATTTAAATGTTATTGCCTAGTAAATAGAATTCAGATCCGCCATTAATGTATATCAAGGCGTGGTAACTGAGCGTTCGCCGCGCGGCGGCCGCAAACATTCTCCTCGTGTAACTGTGCGCTTAAAGGTTATTTTTTGTAAATTTATTATGTTTTGTAAAAAGTTTGGTATAGAACAAAACTTGACGTTTATGATGTTAGTCAGTAACTCTGCAAGGTCATTTGTATTTTACCAATAACCCTATCTATTAGTTCACTCATGTCTTAAGATCATTATATTTAGTATGAGATGTAAACTGGTAGTATCCAGCACAATCAACTCAGTGAACAGTGTATAAACTGAAAAATTCATTTTAGAACTTCAATAGTTGTAAGAATGACAATTTCACATCATAAAAAGCATAACAGTTGTTAAAAAACCAAATAAGATATGACAACAAACACATAGAAAAATTCGTGAGGTCCGTTGGTTCGTTCCGTGGCTTATTTGGTATAGCGTCTAGCACAGTATGCTAGAAGACGTCAGTTCGAATCCGGCCGGATTGAAGGAATTTTTTCTGGGTGTTCGATCTTTGTATTAATAATTATAACAAACTAGTGGAGTATTTCACTTAAAAAATGATTGAATATCAATTCAATAAAAATTTTGCTATAAAAGGATAAACAATGATATTTTTATATTTTTTACAAGTTCCCTTGGTTTCAAAAAAACACATAACCATCAAAAGTTTTTTTTGGCCATTTACTTTAAATTGCTACTTTGCTTTATAGAATAAGATAGATGTAAAAAGACCCTCACATCCTGGCTTAAGAATTAGACAAGTTATCTCATAATTAAATTATAATAACTATGTAGTTGTTTTATTTTTATATAAATTATAAATTTAGTAGCAGTAGAGCTCCTTGTGAAAGAGTTCGTCCAGGAACGTACTGCCACCTTATCTATTTCCGCCGCCAAGCAGTAATGTGACCATTACTGTGTTCCGGTTTTGAAGGGTAATGGTGCTGGTGAAATTAAATATCAGGGTAATGGGAATGACAGTGCCCCTCAGATCTTTGCGATTAATGCTCTGAGTGGCATTGCAACTGTTATGGACAGGCGTGTAGCTTACCATCAGGTGCACGACTCGTTCGTCCCGTCACTTGATATCATAAAAAAAGACAAATTTTCGAAATAAATGCCTTATTATTATTATTGAACGTAATAAAAGTAGCAGTTATAAAACCAGGGGGTCTCTGTTTCGATTTGATATCGTACGGTTTCTTTTAATTTTTATTCACAACACCCGAATCGAACGTCAAACTGTCGTATTCGAAACCGAACCGAAATGAGGACACACCCGTACCATTACTCGGAACTTCTTGATCGGCAAAGGCTATTCAAAACACAGTTACCGAATGAAAGTTACCGAACGTCCGAACGAACGTATTGTTTACAAAGCAAGATTTAATATGGAAATCTCTTATTAATTTAAATAATGTTTGGATTTTGTTCAATTTTATTAACTTTGTTTTAATACAAGACTAATTCGTTCCTATATTTTGTAGTCCATTTGTTTAGGTACTTATCTAAATGTAAAGAATCTCGATACATCTTTTTATTGAAACATATACTTTACAAATCAATAGGTAATAAAAATAGGCATGCAATTTCATATGAAGCTAAGTATTTGTATTTTGCAGTTGAAGGTAAGTAAAAATCATTTTATAAATGTATATTTCATTAAATACACATCTTAAGATTATTTACATTTAGTTAAGTACCTAAACAAATGGACCTTAAAAGTCTTAAAAATGTATATAAAAGATATATTTTACCGACTAGCTCCGTAAACGCTGTACGTTTAACAGAGTAGCTTGGAAAGCGCCATTCGATTCAAGAACAATATCCAATGGAACGATTCGGTTAAAATATCGAAGAGTTCTGAATCGGGTCCAGGTTGATAAACAGGCAGTAACGAATTATGAATGTTTTAAACATGTAGTACGGAACGCACCGCTTCGCTATAATGGATCTTAAAAACCAACTACGGGCTTTACAGAGTGATTTCCAAGCACTTTTTGCGCGGTTACCGCCTGCTGCTTTTCCATAGAGGAGTATCAACAACATATTGACAAAATTGATTGATTACATAAACTGAACATTTTATATTGAATCAATATAAAAACCACGGCATGTTAATTAACTGTGTAAAGTAGAGAATAGTCATATATTTTTTTAACTGCCTCCGTGGCCGAACGGTTACCATGCCGGGCTGCCACGCAGAGGTCTCAGGTTCGATTCCGGGGCCGGGAGAAACATTTGTATGGCCTACATTTATTTCTCTCGTGAGTTTGGGTGTAATTTGTGGTTGTCTATGTGTGTGTCCATGGCACCCGCGACACAGGGTTTCCCTAGTGCGGGGCTATGTTGAGTGTGTGCGTTATTATTATTATTATTATATTATTTTTAGCATCCTAGAAATGTATTACGACCACATTAGACATCGTCGTTGTACCTCATATTTCGATATCGTAAATTCACAGACATGTCCGAGGACATAGAGAAAACAAATAAGTCTTTAATCGTAGTGGTAAACTTCCATTGCACATGTTATTATCAAGTGAAAGCACATCATTAACATAATAATTGCATCAAGCTTCGTTGTTATTCATATCACTGATAATTTATGTGCGTGCAGTGCACGCATGGCCATTAATATGTTTTAATTTATTGGTCTTACTGGGTTTATATAGTTGATGAAATTTCTTGAAATATGAAAACCTTTTTAACCGGCTTCAAATACCTCCTTTATTTTTCCCATTTCGACTATTTTTTTTTGTGTATGTATACGACACCATTCCACTACACACTGTGTATTTGGCTTTACGATTGAAGTGCGTTTTTTTAATAATACCTCGGAAGAAAAAAAGAGCAATGGAAGTGCCTTAGGCCTTGATTACTATAAGAACCGTTGTCGCCAAAACACTACAACATCTTGATGTTGATTGGCCGTAGATTCAAATTTAAAAAGAAATAAGAAAATCTTAATTGTTAATATAATTTAAACTTTACACTGTTAGTATATCGTTCAAAGTTCAACACCATCAATGCTGCCAAGCAGTAATGTGAGCATTACTGGGTTCTGGTTTTGAAGGGTAAGGGTGCTGTTGAAATTACAGGCACACGGGACTTGTCAGCCATATCTCCCAAGATCCCAAACTTTAATCTGAAAACGACAATCGAAATTGGGCTACTTGAAAACGTTGGTGTATTCACAATGAAGGAAAATATACTTTACCTTCAAGCCGCGTCCTTGACCTGCCGAGGTTGTTTTGGGCCGTGATACGATAGCGTTAACTTTTGACGACACCGTTAATGCAGTTAGCCAAATAAATTAATCCTTAACACGTTCATCGCCGGCTAGAATTTTCGAGTGTCACGTTTAGGCCGCGCCTAAAACTGACATACTGCCGCCGATAGTTGAAAGGGTGAATGTGACATTAAAAAAAAAATGTTATGTATGGTTATGCCGTGGTCAGTAATAAAAGACCGATCTGTCACTATTTTTATTTTTTTCTAGGTGGATAAGGTATGAAGTTACCGAAAGAAAAAACTAGGTATTTTTCAATTTTATTTCAATGTTTAAAACAATATTTTCTCGGTTTTGAGCTTTTGTCACATGCGCTGTTTCAACTAACGGCGACAGCATACGTCTGTTGATTTTACATTGATTTTAGTTTGATACTTTTAAATTGAAATTGAAACTTATTATTCGTATTTATTTTATTTTATGTCTAGAAACGTAGATGAGCTATCAAAAATCCTAAAAACAAGTGGCAACAGGCGTTCGTTAGGTCCACACCGTTCATGTTATCGACTAATAAATAGCATTTGCCACCTGCGGTGCGCGGTGCGAGGCGCGGGTTTGACCCATCACGGCGATGAAAATGTGAAATGTCCACACCGTGGCCTAATTTGGAAATGCAGCTTAAAAATATTAAATGCACGAACAAGGCGTGCGCCTGATGGTAAGCTTCACGTCTGTCCATAACAGTTACAGTGCCACTCAGAACTTTAAATCGAAAAGATCTGAGGGGCACTGCCACTGCGCCCGTGACCCTGAGACATAAACTCACAAGTCCCATGTGCCCTGTAACTTCACCAGCACCCACACTTCAAAACCGGCACACAGTAATGCTAAGTTGTTAAGTTAAGTAATGCTAAGTGCTAAGTAAATGCAGTTAGTTGTATATGCCTAGATATAAAATCAGCTGGATAACTTTAAAAAGCAGGCAGTAATTTATGCTTCCACATTTGTATAGCGTACTTGGGAGTGGATTTCTTTGCCTGCAGATTTATTCCCTGAACGTTATAAGCATTTTAAAGTTTAGATTGAATAGGCATTATATAGGTGTGTATGCTCCATCGTCGACCTCATCGTCACTTTCCATCAAGAGGTCAAATGTGTAATTAATTTATCAATAAAAACAGGAAAGAACTTTGCTGTCCTTATTTCTCAAACGTTATTTTAAATTTATATATTGTGTGTAAATTTAATTACAGTATTTAATTTTGTTTCAGCAAATAATGGCAAGCAGAGAAAGCCTCATAGAAAGTCATACAGAGGAGTGTGAAGCTGATGATACGATACTAATGTCACAGGTAATCTTGAATTTTTTTTCACGTATTATTACTTGTTATTTTTGAGGAATTACTAGTGTTGAGCAACTGTTCAAAAAAAATTCTAAATTTGAATAAAAATATTTTTTTTAAATTTCAGAAAAAATATATAATAAAGAAGAAATTTCTTTCCCAAATTTTTTTCTGTATGTATGAACATTTTTCCATGACTGTAAAGATTTCGAGCTAATTCACTGGTTGGATATCTTCGCCTTACTTTCTTACTGAAATGCAAAAATGGATTGTATATACCAATTTTGCAGGCCGATTTCACTTCATATTTACTCACTGGCTTTTACCTATTCTTAAAGTAACGCATCCAAATTAACACCCTTAATAAGAAATTTGAAATAAATAGAAAGTTTTGCCTTCTCCTGAATAATCACTCTTCATAAGGTAACAGTTTGAGAAAGTAAGGCATCGATTAGATAATATTATTCTTCTTCCATAATCTATACTTTTCCGGAGTTTTCATGAAAATATGTGTAAATAACATTGACTTACAATTATATGGACGTCGGGACCGCGCTAAAAAGTGTCCGAACTTATAGGGCGTTAAAATCGTATACAGAGCGTCATTCACGCTTTAGTCTTCGTTTGTTCGACTGAAGCGAAGCAAGCAAAATTAGACAGAACTGCGATGACATTGACAATTTAAATTCAACGGTTTAGCTTTTTCATATCCCTTTACATGTCACTACGTTTAAATAGGTTGACTTGGGACATTTTTTTCGTGGTTTTTGTATTAGACCCGTCGTCCATTTATTTGTAAGTCAACGGTAAATACATCTCATTTTTAATATCACATGTTAAAAAACATGTAGCATTTGAACTTCAAGTGGTAATAAGGTTTAACAAAGGTTTGACGGGTTGTATAAATGATGATATTTGTATAAAGACAGTGAATAACCGTCATCACGTACTGATAGAGATGAATGAAAGAAAGGGTATTAGAGCAGGAAATTTATAAAATGGTAATGAGGCAATTTCGGGACACTCCGGGAGGTCTTCTCGTCCGCAATACCACAGTCCTTGAAGACAAAAGTCTTCGAGCAGTGCGTGTTGCCAGCGATGACCTACGGCTCTGACACGTGGTCACTTTTTTATGAGGCTCATTACTATGGGCCTCATAAAAAGCTCAAAGTCCCTCAACGAGCTATCGAGCGAGCAAAGCTCGGCATTTCTCTACGTGATCGAATCAGAAATGAGGAGATCACGTAAAACTGACAGCCGTTGAGGCAGAAATGTTTTTGAATGGAGACCACGAACCGGAAGGCGTTCAGTAGGACGGCCCCCTACTAGATGGACGGATGTCCTGGTAAGGGCGGCGGGTAACCGATGGCTGCACGTTGCGTCCCATCGGCTGGTCTGGAAATCTTTGGGGGAGGCCTGTGATGATGATGATGACTTATGAGGCAATGTCTTATTTACTTTTTAAATTTATTTATATGAAACATTACACAAATCCACTTACAAATAAAAACGTTATTTGGTAAGGCCAATTAAAGTGACAAAAAATACAAATTTTAAATAAATATAAATTCAATCATCATTTCCGTCAACCCATTATACCTCTCACTGCAGGGCAACGGGAGTTAATGCTACTAAACAATTACAAATGTACGTAACTTGAAAATTGGAGTCATAGGTACATGTTACTAAAGGGATTCGTATCGACGACTACTAAACCGCATTAGAGAAACCCTGTATCGCTGGTGCCATGGACACTGACATAGATAACCACAATTACATCCAAACTCACGAGAGAAATAAATGTAGGTCATCCAAATATTTCTCCCGGCCAGGGAATCGAACCCGGAAACCATGGAAAGCGTACGGCCCGTGGCAGTTAAAAATTGGGAAGCATTCATTCTCTCTCGCTTTGAGTTACCACCGCTCTTACTATTGAATATATTAATTAAATGTACCTAAATCAAACTTCTCTCCAATTTTCAGGAATTTGGAAGTACAGCCCTAGATTTCGTAGAAGAAGACCCTATCACCCTTAAGGAAGTCCATGAACATATGATCCGGTCACCGCCACCCACCAGCTGTTGGCCCCATGGTAAAAAGAAACACAATCCTAAAAAACGCTTGAAAAAGAAGAAAAAGTTTCGCAACCTGCTTACACTCAAATATTATTTACTAACAGTAGCGGTTAAACAATTGAGAGGCTTGAAATATTTGCGTGCCTATTGAAATAAAAATGAAAGCATTTTTTTAAATATACATACACCGGCACACTTAGCGAAGCACTAATAAAATTTCAAATAATGCTGTATTTTCTCGAAAGTCGGGCCGGTTCATTTATTTTACGTCTATTTGAAAATAAAAACATGTTTAACTAGCATTAATTTATTTTAATTTTCAACGAATAAACTAAAACAAAAAACAGTTTGAGGGTTTGTTTTCGAAAAAAAAAAAACCTTAAATAAAAATAGTTTTTGAAAAAGTTAAGTAAGACTGCACTAAGGCAATGTTAATATAATTTCTAGTTTATGTGTATTGGTTTTTTTATTTTACTTATTTCGGGAGGGTTTACGGCTATAATAAAAAAAAACGGTATATAAATAATATCAAAAAGTCTGTTAGAAACCTCCACATTTAAGTATCGAAATTACAAACAATAAATTATTGCTGATTTGGTTTAAAGCAATCGTAAATATAAATATCATATTATATATTTCATTTGCATATGTACGTTACATACACATTTTCAAACTTACATATTTAAAAATTCTTATTTATTTAAATATTATATTCTCACTTTTTTGTTCCGCTACTTGTATCAGTGTGTGTATAACATAAATACAAGTGACGTGAAATCACATTTTTAAAGTAATTGTAACATAGAGATTATTCACAATTCTCGAATTTATTAAATTGCTCTAACTTCATCTTATCTTTTTTTTCGAGATGTAATATAACAGACATAGCATTGTTGTAATTAAAAATATCATTGCCACATTTTCATACTAGAACTGATGGAATTATTTCGATGATTACCTTCTTTAATCTAATAGGGAAATTGTGTCGGCAACGTATTTGACTGATTAATTTCTTATCGTAAGCTAATCGATGCTAAACTACTTCTAATTTATTTATTCTATGTTGAAAGTTCTTAATTGTGCCGCTGTGTAACAGAAATAACATTTATTTGGCGTGTTTCGGCATTATTTCTAACAATGCTTCGCTCGTGTATATTTTAAACCAGCTGATCGTCTTCTTGCTTTTAGAATATCAAATCAAATTAAAAAATATATTTCAGACATTGTCCATATCATGTTAGTTACTTATAGCCTATGTTAGTAAAAAAGGTTATCACAAAAAAAAAGAAATATTACACTAGGTTAAACACTATGCCTCTGGAACCTATGTGTGTGAAGTTAGTGTAATTATTATTAAAAAAAAAAATAGGCGCTTTGTCGTCGAGTTGCGGATACCAGCCCGTTGCACATTTTTTTTTTAATACTGGGGTATACCTTTGCCCAAAAATTGGTATTGTATGCCCATTAGAGAAGTCATTGGCTTAAGAGGTGCAGAGGCTCTACAGACTCTGCTCTCAAAATTATTTTGAGATATTTTGAACCACTGTCCTTTGGTTTCTCTATCATCTAATCTAAATCTAACTAGACCCATGTCGGTTGATTATTTTTGGTAACCCGGTTCGATTATGACCCATGCGTAATGTGATCGGGTCAAATGATTCGATCATAATACGAGTATGTTCGATCTTTTAGTGGGTCACTCGTCGTCACTATACTTCCATATGGCGTTTAAAAGTGTCAAATTATACAATTAGCTTTTATTCTTTCTTGCTGATGGGTAATGTGTATAAAATTAAATGCATCATTGATAAACCACATTTAGGACACTAAAATTTCATTCTAGGAAAAGTAACACCTACAAAACAAAAATACAAAAAACTTCAAAATTACTAATTTATTATTCATTAATATTTTAATATTGGCTAGTGCACTTATAAGTAATCACAGCATACCAAATTAACAGATTAAACTTACAAAATTACCATGTAATGGACTCTACGCCACGGAGCAATTAGGATTAATGATTGGTAGACTCATTAATCCGTTAACCCGTTGACCCATTGACTCGTTGATCGATTGCTTGACTTTTTGATTCGATCGAACGAATGCTCTATCGAACAAATGTTCGACCCAAACGAAGAGTGAGAAGGCGAACCGTGTTGTGAGTGGGGACTTCAAGTGAGAGTGAACGAGGCAACAATAATATTGTGAATTGTTGAAAGTCGAATATTGCGCGCATGATCCATAAAACTCTAAAATGATAGGGTTATTTAGAAGCTAGTAACCTGGGTTATCGGGTCAAAGGTGCTGTTCGAATCATTTTTGATTCGATCGATCACGATCGACACACGTCTAATCGTAACTAAGAAAAGACCACAAATGAATTAGAATCTCAGTCTCATTGCATAATGCAAAGAACTCTTTCGGATCTAGTTAACTGTGACTATGGGACCCGTAAAGAGTCTGATTAGTGTTAGTGTAAATGATACTCTGATACTCCCAGACCAACCGCATGAGGCATATACAGGTGGCCCACAGTTATGCGACACTGAGGGAAAGTACTTTTAAATATTGCAGATAAAATATTTTGCTTCATGGACACATTGTTTGAAATTTTTAAAGTAATATTACTTAAAAAGTGTATAAAAAGAATTGATCCTTGTGATTGACCCTTTCAATCGGCATCATAAAAATACAGGTTTTTTTCCCATTCAGTTCATTCCGGTTCATGAAATTACTTGGTTGAAAATTGTAATTTACGTCGTGTAGAAAGTGTCAGTTTGTTTTATAGCTTAACCTGTGTACCTAAACTAGCCAAAAACGCTTATACTAATTTCTAGATTCGCTGTCGTACCGAGCAGCGTCGGCGTTCGACTTCAGCGCGGCCAGCCCGCTCTCCTATAGCGTATACTCAGTCAATTCACAGGAAAAGGTTACTAATATACCTAACCAAAAACTCCCTATGCTTGTATTGTGTCCCTTTTTGCTTTGCATGCTATTATGTGTCTTACCAGCTTTACACACTGAGCGCTGTGCGGTGTAGGAGTTACCTATGTTCTCTCTTAAACCAATAGGCTTAATTTACTTTGACGCAAGCAGAAATAGACGAAAGAAGACGTACAAACCGACGCCTCCCAAGTAAAGTATCGTATGTCAAAATTGCCAAGTTTACAGGGGAGCTTTTTAAAGTTCTGAATTCACTGAAATAAGCATAACACGTGACTTTAGATTTCTCACTTTTGTTCGGCAAATCTCGTTACACACGTTGAGTATCATAAAATCCTAGATATCGGCTAGATGATCTATTAGAGGATCACTCTATGTGAGTAACAAGCTATGCCGAATGAAACGGAGAACTTTAAAACACTCCCCAGTAAACTTGGCAATTTCGACATACGATACTTTACGTAGGAGGCGTCGAAACTTGATACGAGCCAAAAAATAGGTCGTGCGTTTGTCGGAGAATTTTCGCTATATATACTACCGTAGCGTATTTAGTTTGTACGTTACACAAATGACATACAGTTCATTACGCTATGTACAGTTTCGTTACAACTAAAATTAAAATAAAAACCGACTTCGAAAGTTCAGAATTTCATCTATTTGCCAAGTTTTATTTCAAATCGGTTACCGGAAAGTGTGCGAAACCGGATTCATCCTCAAGTTTGTCACCCTTAAGGTGGCGGTTCGCATCGAAACAGACAGGAGACCGAGACGGGAGACCAAAATCCTTACTTGACTTTAGACTTTTGTATGTGTTCCGTTCGTGAGTGACACCAAGACAGGCGACTACGACGCGAGACCATAGACAGTGAGACTGTCTCTACCGCGACCCGTGGTATCGAAATCTCGTTCGAAAAGCACGTGCGCTATTGTGAAAAATAACGTCGTTTTCTGATGAAGAAACTGCTAAATTAATTGAAATGTTATGACAACATCCTGCGCTATTTCACTCGCAGCTTGACTCATTCAGGGAAGAAAATTTAAAGTATAATATTATGTATTAACATAATTATAATAATAATTATATTATTATACTTGATATCTGTATAGCTTTCCAATACACTGTCCAAAACTTTCCAGTATACGGGTCCCCAACGACTGACAACGCAATACTGATTAAACAGTGGTCGCTGTCTGAGCATGTCTTGGCGCACAGTACACCACCGGAGACGAAGATATTTGTCTCGGTCTCCTGTCTCTGTCTATCGTCTCGGTCTCTTGTCTTGGTCTCAACGCGAACCGCCACCTTTAGAGGTGGAATATTTTCTTTAAATTTAAATGAGACCAATACTGACCCTCTTTCCAACAAAAAAAGAATCATCAAAATCGGTTTACATATACAAATAGTAATCGTGTAACAAAAAAAAAATACAGTCAATTAAGAACCTCCTCCTTTTTTGAAGTCGGTTAAAATACTTTTCATTCCGTTCCGCGTCAATGTAAATGGAGCCTTACTTGCAATTCTGACGAAATCGAATTATTTACAGCGTTACTTAGGCTATGTGTTTTATTTGGTCTTGAGAACATGCCTTCATGCGACATTGAGCAAGTGAGTTGAAGAATATTCCAGGAAGTTAGAGCTATTGCTCTGTCTCCCCTTATTTACATGTTGTTAATAACTTTATTTCGTCAATATAAGTTACATACATTCCTGATAAGGACGATAAACACTTTCCCTGTCCACGAGTCTTGATTCGCAAACTACTCCAACTACAAGTTCAGGTATGCCCTTGGATTCAGGCGCGTTAAGCAGATATTGTGAGTACAAATTTAACCTTGAATATTGACTGTTTAAAGTGAAAGAAGCTAAGTAGTGATATTTATAGGTAGGTAATATTTTTGGATAGTATTAAAATCCTTATGAAAAAGATTGTTTGTAATAAAATAATTTTTCAAAGCTATGTTATTATTCAACATAAGTATACGTTTATTTATTTTAAAGGTAATGTAATCCTCACATCGTAACTGGTACAGTTTAGCACATTAATAGACTACATTGAATTACAATAGACCACTATCCAAAAACAAGGTAAGCAGCACGGCAATATTAGTCTTAGTAATAAGTTAGTGTAAAATTACACTCTCCAAATTTAAAACGAAGAAAACAAAATGTATGTAAAAATAATAATAATAATTTATGGAGCAAGGTCTAACTTTACAAACTAGCTACCTAAAACTAAACAAGTTACGCTGTAGTGTCATTTTAAAGTAAATGACCACTGAGTCTAGAAAAAATCTGTATTATGGGTGTCAGTCATCCTCTGTGACAACTTACAACCTTGAAAAATAAATGAAAATAATTGAAAATAATTGAAAATAATTTCAAATAAGTGCTGAATTTTATTTATAATTTTTTTGAAATGTAGTTATTGCGATAATAATTTAGATAGAATAAATATAATTTAAAATAAATAAACAAATAAAAAAAATTACAAATTTATTTGTAGCATACAGCTTTTTCTCAGGTAAAAGCCTTTTTGAAAGAGTCAAAAGCCTGTTTTTTTCTGGAAGAATCCAGTTTTCGTACAATGCAAGGCTGATCGTTGTGCCGATCTTAGGAGAGAACTAGACCACTGGACCGTCTTTCGGCTAAAATTATGATTTCAAATCCATAAAACAGATTTGATGACATGTGATAACGTTGTAATATTATTCACAAATTTTACTACCCAAGAATAAGTCATTTTCAACTTAAGCGGCCTTTTTTGCCTTTCTGCCGTCGATATGATTTTGAGCTAAATTGGAAAATGTCTTCGCATGTATGCAGTTTACTGATAGTAGACGTAGCAAAAAGATACAGGATTTTATTATTTTATTCTAGTACTATGATATTACTATTAAAATTTTATGTTACTTTCCATGTTGATTTTCACTAACATTTTTGACTAAATGGCTTGAATCCAAGGTCATGAATTTTTTTTCCACTATATTAATATGGTACAATTGTATGTGTATTTGTTACCCGTGGACAAGGAACGTGATTCAATGACAGCAAACAGCGCGCGGTTGGTATGTAGAGCAAGTTAAACTATTATTTTTAAATACTATTAGTTAAATATGAATGCTTATTTTTTGGTAATTGTTTTAATTTTGTTTCTCAACTGAATACTCGTATCTCGTCACACGTCTTAGAGAATACTAACTATTTAGGATTCGACGACTCCAACGCGCAGCTGTGTTTTCCTCCACCATAACAAAAATCATATCTATACAGTGTCTTTTTTTAAATAGGACAGTATGGGGAAATCCGAAACCATAGAAGATACAAGGAAACTGTCTTTATAATAATAACATAATAACGCACACACTCAACATAGCCCCGCACTAGGGAAATCCTGTGTCGCGGATGCCATGGACACACACATAGACAACCACAAATTACACCCAAACTCACGAGAGAAATAAATGTAGGTCATACAAATATTCCTCTCGGCCCGGGAATCGAACCTGGGACCTCTGCGTGGCAGTCAATGGTAACCGTTCGGCCACGGAGGTAGTTAACCATCCTTAGGAACCACTAAGTCTTTTTTTTTGTGAAAACCAGTTTGGAATAGTCAATTTTTTGGTCAAGCCTGAGTTGTCCATAGAAATGAATAAAATTGATGAAATTTTTTTTTAATGGTCGACTCAGATTCATAAAAGGGTCATTTCATTGTACAGAACAGTAAATGAGTTTTTTGATGCTTATAGGCTCAGTTTCTTATAAGGATGATTTCATTGTACCGTAAGAAAAAAATTAGGGCTGTAGAAGTTGGTCAAATTTAACAACAAAGATTTTTCATACAAAACGAATAACATTATAATAACATGTACATGTTATTGCTTGTACATGCTTTTCCTAAAATCATTAGGGACATCATGTGTCTCTAGAACGCGTGACGGGATATTGAGGGCCAATAAGTGTAATTTTTATTCGAATTTCTGACTTATAAGTATTTTGAATACCTAGGTAAAAAATATATACCTATAACTTAACCTATTCTGGTGCTCGGGTACTGAGAACTACCCAGATTGGGATTCAGTCTGTGTTGTTATTATTTATGAAACGCAATAAAATATGATGTATGTAGGAGCTGCTAGGCAGTCGGTCTCCTAGACACAGCGCGCGGCACGACGAGAACCGGAACAACAACACGCCTGGACGGCCGAGATCATCGCGGTCGGTCTCCCCGAAATCGCACGATCTGAGTCTATGTGGACGCCCTTTGTCTTTACCAGGTGAGATATCGCACTGTTATTACAATAGTGTATTAACTCAAAAAGTGTATTTTGTCATAAACGACGAAAAACTAATTACTCACTTCCCGTGAAAGATCATTAAAATTTATGTATAGGTTATTATAGTTTATTACAGACACTTAAACAATTTTCTACTTGACAAATATATTTAAGATTAAATTGGAAAAATATTTCACATTTTGGAATAAGTGCTATTTTGGCAGAACTAGATCACATAAAGTGTTACTCATTAGGAGTTAAATAGATATCTTTTAATTATTTATTACAATTACGACGGTTTTATTGACGTGTAAATCAAATTTTACGTTCAGTAATGTTATAATAGTGAATGTCACTTATTTTAGTATTTTAACGGCGGTGCAAAATCTCTATTACTTTATATTTATGCATAGAATAATAACGCATAGAATGATAGTTTCATATCAAACGAACTGTCGCAAGTGAGGCAAAAATGTAGGCTAGTTTTAGTAGTAGGTTAATTTTCGGTTTTAGTGAATATTTATATAAAAATATAAGTTGAAACGCGTTACGTCCTTGTGGAATGTGATGTTAGTATCTATTTTATGTTTGTCTGACGGATTTTTACACTTATTTACCGCACATTTCGTCATTTTTAGCTAAAATTCTTGATCTGTTCGCGGTGCAAGTTGACGTTTAGTTTAGTTTTAGTTTAGTTTAGTGTAGGCCCATTGGGCGCGCTTCAATTTGCCTCACTTAGCGTGTGCGGACTAGGTTTCTATGCGTTATTATTATAAGTATATATGTAAGTAGCAATTCAACCTCACTCACATGTAAACACACATTGACACGTTAGTACAATTATACACACACGTACGAATACCGATATTATTTACTCTTTATTAATCCGGGTATTCTTTTTTTAAAATAATGTTAAGTGACGGAACAAACTAGTCGTGTGCCGGGTGGTAAGCGGCACGCCTGTCCAACAGTTGCAGTGCTTTAAATTGCAAAGGGGCACTGCCACCTCGCCCGTGTGCCTGTAATTTGACCAGCACCCTTATACCGTTCAAAACCGGAACGCATTACTACTTGGCGGCAGAAATAGGTAAGGTGGCAGTTCTTCCCTAGACGAACACTTTCACAAGGAGCTCTATAGCTACTGAAATTTTATGTCGTATTAATTCCAGGAGATAGCCACATCCGCACAGCGCTTGGCAAGAAGCAATCCCAGCAGAGCGAGCGGTTTTCCCTCCTTCAACACCCTCTGCCACTGCGTAGGCCACACGCCAGCCGGCGGGACGAAGACAGCGTGCAGCTTGTACAGGATTGTGATAAGTAACATTTCCTTGGTGGAGATAAGAAAATGTTGAAAACAAGAACATGTTTGCAGTTCTCGCTTTGTGAATCATATTTGCAAGTTGTGCAATAGTGCAGTCAAGAATTGCGAAAGTGAATCTACTAACCACTTTCAACTGAAACGTGATGTTTGTTGTTGATATTTGCGCTTTGTCTTCGGAATGCTTCCACCAATATCGGAATGGCGATATGTAAACCATGTCCGATTAACTCGAAAGAAATTTCCTTGTTACTTAAAACATATATGCAGCTCTTTTAAGCTGTGTAGAGTTGTCTAGTCTTTGAGCTGTTTTGGTCATTCGTAAGCCGTTTTAAATTCGATTCACACCTCTGAATGTCCTATCCAATTGCTATTATTGTCTATAGACACTTTGACCAATCACAAGCCTCCTAAATTGCAATTGGAGTATGATCAAGTGATGAACTACCTATCCAAGCATATTTGTAGCCTCAGAACTTGGTTGTCATTATTTTAGTAGCTCTTTTACGTATTCGCCCATTAAAATGTTGCATAGAAAATTAGTCTTGGTGGAAATTAACCCTTATGTCCTTAAACAGTAGGCTTACGTTTGTCCACAATCTCACCTGGTGGTAAGGGAAGACGTGGACGAGAACGGTACTCGCTTGCCTAGCATGTACCTTTTCCCTTCTACGATATACGTTGGGGAAACAGAACATAAGAACATTTAACATAAAAACATATTTAACAAAAAAATCCGTTAAAGGTCAAACCACGCCTGGCCGGCACTACTAAATAGTGGTGGGACAGCAGTAAAAGAAAAATTGTTTTGTTTTAAACAGTCGTGTGAGATGATTTTAAAGTTCTTTTTAAAAATAATTTATGCTGTACTTTATTATTAAATATTTCAACGATTATGAAGATATATTTTCTTTTTTAAAAAGGAAATGAACCAAAATTGATTATTATAGTTGTGGTAAGTCAATACGGGTGTTCTAAAGTCGTTATTGGAAATGGTAAGAATAAGTACAGTCACCACGAAAAGTGCCTTATCGCTTCGAGTGACAAATATACTCTTTCCGTGAGCTAGAGCTGATTCGCGAAAAACTGATAAGGCAGTGTTCGTTTTGACTGTATACGTGTCGATATCAGGATTTGATATAGTACTTAATTGAAGGTGTATGTGTTGTCCTAAAACCTATAGTTAAAAATAACTGCTTCTAAATTGTAAAAAAAATAGAAATACAGGTAAACGCCATTCAAACTAATATTTGACTCCGGTTCTGTCTTGCATATCTCGAGCTAATTTCGTAAACTAATGTACTTAATATATAACTCATACATATTTCACAAATTATTGTAAGAGGTACTCTATTGGAAATGTGAGATATTCATCGACATAATTCTTGTTAAACTACTTAATAACTTTTATTCCTATATACCTCCTTTTAGAATGCATGACAGAATTGGTTCAAAACAAACACATTTGAATACTAATAGTTTAGAGCGCAAAGTAAAACATTAACGATTTACATTGTAGAGCTTTAAGTTCTACATTATAGTAATTATTTGAAATGCTCAGTCACTGGAACTTATCCTATACCAACCGTACTTAGAATGGTGTTATTTGTAGTCAATTTTGGTAAATGAATAGGTGATGGCATGCATGGTCAATAATTCTGCCGTCCGCTAACTACATAATATAATAATAAAACTCGTAAAAGTGACAAAGTATTTTATTGAGATATCATAAAAAACCATAACCCAGTTTTAGTATATTGAAATTGTTGAATGATATTTGAGCTAGGCATCGTTAGGTAAAGTTCCGATACAGTCGAACATGTTTTTATTTACTTTTTATAAAAACGTACAATAACAGCAAAACATATATAAGAATTCGCATCATAATACGTTATAAACAGTGGTATCCTATAACTATGCTTGCCAATTATAGGCATACAACATTTGCCAAGAACTAACAAAACATTAACAATAAATTCCAAGTTAATAAATCCAAATGCGATGCTTAAAAGAGCCTATGCGGCATTTAAATAGTGCAAAAGTATAATTTTAAAAACATTTGGCGAATCATTGAAAACATTTATGAAAGGAGCCTTATATGTGATTTCGTTATATTCGCGGCATACCCTGGACAGGGACAATGCAAACCTAAATTAGTCCGGACCTAAATTGAACACTTTTCGTACTGTATGTACGTTATTCGTACGTTAACTAATTTTAACTGTTTTTAAAAGATAATTTTGTGCTCTATCTTATGCTATAAACGAATATTTGACCATTTGTCACTTAGCCACGTTTTAGTTAATGGACGGCAGAATTAATAGATATTTCTGTTAGATGCCAATATATCGGAAAAACCTGCATAATGTACTAACTAGACATATAACACATAAACAGAGGCTAGCCTCACAGCGATCTGTTTGATCTTATCCAATCTGTGTCTTCCATATCCTCAACCCTTTTCAGTGGCGGGGAAAGGACACTTAAAGAAAGTAAGGCCATGCAAAAGGTACTATCTCTAAAGTTGACGCTTCGCCACCTTAAGGCCGCAAATACGGAATAGTGGTGCAATCAGCGGGGCGTCAAAGGTTCGCGCCTATACTGTGTCTTGTGTTGGATGTGTTACCGCCATTGCGAATTTGTGGCCTAAGAGTTCTTTTTGTACGAAGGCAATTGCGAGCACGTAGTGGTCTCGCCCGCAGCGTGTTTGTTCATGTCAACTAACAAAAGACTATTGAAACGTAATAGGTATATATTTCATCACACTTCCTCGTAAATAGTAATATAACATGTAGCAGAACTAAGTGGTGTTTTTATCATAGGGTTTCCGTAGGCAGCTAGGAGCGCAGACACATTGCCGACTCGGCTACCGCCGTCTGCTGGAGCCTCGCGCCAAATACATAGTACAAAAAAGCAGTAGACTTCTTGATATTATTTATTGAAAATAGTATTAATATATAAACTGGACCAGAAACTGGCTCAGATGGTTAGAACAATACTACCGTGCAGCATGGACGTGGGTTCAAGCCCCACCGGGTCGACGAAAAATTTTTCTGTGTTCGATCTTTGTACTATAACAAAACGACACGATAATCATAACGAAACTAATGGAGCTATTTCACAAAAAATCTCAACAAATGCAATAAAGTACTGTCTTCAATAATAATTTTTTATCAGGTACCTAGTCATAGATACCGTAGCATACATAAAAAAAAACAAATTTTGTTTCACCCAATGTAATGTAAAAAGAGCAAAAAATGTTATTTTCCGTGTTTTTTAACTTCGTTGCAAGTGTGACGAAAACCTTTATATGACACACGGGCGGTATAACAATAACAAACGTTCGGGCCATTTAAGGCCTTGCCCTCTTGAATGCTCTTGTAATTGCCTACTTATCACCCTTATAGACGATGTCCAAGATGTGTGTGCCAGGTGCAATTGACGAACTCGCGAAATTTAGCTATTAAAGTTATGTTAGTAATATAATCAAACGGTTTTAACAAAGGTTAGAACTGGTCAAGCTTCAATTTTGTTGATAGTACGCAGTAAGCTCTGCAATTAATGTCATTTTCCATTCAATATCTATGAGAATGACTAGTCAATGATAATAAATAATTACTAATATAGAAACCGTTTCATATGAACCTTTCGCGACCGGTACGAGAACTGATATATCTTTGTAATAAACAATTATGGTCAAACAACCTATTCATTTATTAAATCTAAAAATGTAGGTACATCTAGTGTATTGTAAATAGGTATTATTTAGTAATATAAAATTGTTAATAGCTTTAGTAAACCCAAAGATATTAGTTTAATTTAGAATAGCGCATACCACGAAAATAATAGATAATAATTTTTATTAGATGTGAACACCGTAAGTACTTATTGAAATTCATATTTTATTTTCCTTTTTATTTTAAACGATAAAAGTCTTTTTCTGTTGATAGCGTTGGCCTACTAACAAATGGACGTCGGGAAGGTATACCTATACGTCGTTAAAATCGCATACAGAGCGTCAATCGCGCAACAGTCTTCGTTTGTTCGACTTACAGCGCGATTGTCGTACGTTTATATGGGTTCGCGTCGGACATTTTTTTTCGTGGTTTTTGTATTAGACCCGACGTCCATTTATTTGTATGTCAGTGGTCGATAGCATATTATGCTTGTTGATATTCCATTTAGTGTTGAACAACATAGATCTGTGTAAATATCAGCAATGTACACTGTGCTGATGCCTTCAAATATTCAATGTTGTCCATGGTATTTTTATGTTTTATTTCTCAGCAGGAACCAGGACACTGCGCTGGTTACTTATCAGTTGTCCGAAATGACATTTTCCAGAAATAACGTTTGCCCGAATTTTCGTAATCTCGAAAGTAATTTTGAGAGGAAAATGTTTTTTCTTCTAAACCTGACTTAACCGAACCCAATCGAGTCTTTGTGTCATCCAATATATCCTAAAAGAACAACGGTTTCGTCATAATTCGGTTTTTGGTGTAATGAAAATTCGAACAAACGGTATTTCGGGAAAAAAACATCTAGTTTGTGATAGGTTGCCCAATGGGCCATACTTAAAGGTATGCAATTGTTACAAATTGATTATAAATCCTAGAATATCTTTTTCTGTTTAAAATGTTTTCTTAGGCCTCTTGCGGTTTGAAAGTAGACACTAAGATTAATATGTTTTTAATTACAATTTTATTACTTTGTTAGATGTTTGGCTGAAATCCAAATTAGTATTTTAATGTAAAAAATATGAATAATGATATTTTGCCATGTTTTTATTAATATAGTATTTCTTCCTGTACAATGATTTTAAGGTTTTGTAGCTAATTATTAGATGTGGATTAATCGTAATTAATGTTGCAATGGATATTGCATATTATTGATGTTCGGTGCTCTTTCAACGAGCTTACGGCGTTGTTTCCTTGAGATCTGGTTAAAAAGGGTTTTCATAGTTGTACAGTCAAGAGCACGTCAAGCTTAACACTTTGTGCTTTGGACCGTTCTTATCGTAAGCGGCATAGAGTTGGATTTAAGTCTTATCAATTGTAAAAATGGAACGAAGGGGAAAAATTAGTGTTCAAACACATAACAAACATCAACACTCTTGAACACTAAACGTGATTTTATCACAAGTTTCTCATATCATTTTTGCACCACCGCGACTAGTTAACGCGTGCTGATAGAATGTCATGTGATTCTTAAAGTACTCGATAACGTGACTTATTTTGCCAAGTCTTCCATACTATCAAAATACCTTAGCAATGAAAACCCCATATAAAACCAGATTTAATATTATGCAAGAGTGTACCATAAAGGTCCGATCATACCTATTTCAGATGTTAATCGTACTTCTTGTCATTATTAATACAAAGATTTACTTAAAATTTCTGAATGTTGGACTATCATAATATAAGTAGGATTATTTATTAATTTTTTAAGTTTTTTATAAAAAGTGACTATGTTTGACCACCATGAAATTCATTTAGTGTAATTATTCAACTAGTTTGTTATAATTATTAATACAAAGAGGGAACACTTAGAAAAAATACCTTCGATCCGGCTGGATTCGAACCAACGTCTTCCAGTAAATCGTGCCAGACGTTATGCCAACTGAAAGCCACAGAAGGAACTAGCGGACCCTATGATTTTTTTGTGCTTGTTTCAGATCTTTAATTTTGGTTCTTAACGACTTTTTTCCCGTAGCGCCATCTGTGAGAAGTCTATTTCTTTACAGCTACCAGCGACTGACAGAGATGTCGCTTAATAATTGTAATTAAGTAAAAAAAACCGTAAGGTCCGCTAGTTCGTACC